GCTCATATTATTTATAAGCACCTTCATAAATCAACATTATTTTTGTGGTGGGATGAAATTGAAAAATACCATCACAATGCCTTCCTATCATTCAGGTTATATTTTTTGGCCCGCACAGGCCCAAGTGGATACATTTGAAACATTTCATAGGGATAATGTTGACCTCCATGATCTAAGGTTGGACTCAATGTTCTTCAAGTTCTTTTCTAACTTTAAGGATTCTGTGATTCTATGAAATAATTTCTTTCTTCTTGATTATCAAGTATGGGTTATGGTTTCTGAGAATTTAATAGTCATTATACTACACTAAGTTTTCTTCTGCAGATTGCTGCTGCCAGTTAGGGCAAGCTTATTCTTTAGCAGCTAGTACCAGTTAAATCTATTCACTATTAAAAACCAAAAGTTCTTCAAAATTGACCTTTTTTATACTTGACACTGTAGAAATACATTTTCCAATTAAACTTCAATGTCATGAAAACCTTTGCAAGATTTTCTTCATATTTTATGTGTTGGGAGAGTCTAATTATGATGACGCCATTGACAGAAACATTTGAGATAAAACAGACTGAGAACCTGATAAATGTGTTTTTTTGAATGACATTTCATTTTAATGAGTGATGTATGGTATGTGAAGCCAAAGGCTTTACATTTTTTTTTGCAATTACAAAAGTGTTTTTATCATCAAACCTGTGATGATGTGAGTAGTTGGTAAGATTGGGATGTTGTTGATATTGATTTTGGACATTATTATATAGCATATAAAGCTGATGCTATTGATTTGTAGCTACTCCAGTTTTATGCTAAGGATTGTGCTGCATTAAATGGGCAACAGTTACTGGGCTATTCTTTTTTGGAAAATAGCACTTGTCCAGCCTTGCTAAGGGTGCTTCCAGAACTGGATTAACAATGCATATGGATTAGCTGTCAAAATTGCCTCTTTGAAAAACAGGAGCAAATAAACAGCTTGGTTTTTTTCTCTTAATAGTGAAGAAATTGTAGACTGTATTTGTTTTTCACAGGATGAAGCATAGGAGAATCTTTCCCTTATGTTTCTAATGGCCAAAACCTGGAGGCATGTGAAAACTGGCTTCATTTAGAGTCTTTCGAGACTGGCGTAATGTTGGGCGTGCATTAAATTGTGTGTACGGATTTAACAATCAGAAGAGCTTATTGTACTCGAGCTCCATCTTTCCTGCCTGCTCTGCCAGGAAGCAATGAGAAGGTGTAGTACAGCTGGCTATTCTGGCTTAGAGCCAGGTAGGGCTATGCCTACATAACAGGAATCCCCAGCTTCTCCTCAGAAGAAACACTTTCCAAGGCAGAACTGATATAATAAAAAGCAGGATCTGATTAAGCTATATATTTTATCTACCTTTTTCTTCAATGTGAGAGATTTATATTCTCATGCTATGCTCATTTCCATAATAAAGTTAAATGCCAAAGCGATATCTTATAGGAAAGGAACCAATAAATGCAGGTGGAATAGAAAAACAAGTGTATTTTTTTGCTAAGTGTATACATTTTTTTTCCATATCTTTTATTGCAGATCCAATACCCCTGAACAAGCAAGGTCTGCGTAGCAAAGTTCTAGCTGAAAAGGTACAGATTCAAGAAAAGACCCCTAGGGAGAAGAGAGGAGGGAATAAAAATAATATCAGTAAATGTGTTTAATGATCCATTTGGTGATGTCAGCCGTAAGCTGTTTGTGTGCCAGAGCATGGTAAGCATTGGCATGCAACAGCAAATGTCACCAGAAGTAGAGTGTCACAGAACTGAACTCTGACATGCCAGCAGAGAATGAATTAACTCGTTAAATCTGAGTCATGAAGGTAGATCATGCTAATAGTGTAACAGCAAGTGTACTCTGGGGTTCCGTTGCTGTGACTCACTCTCTCCAAGCAGAAGCATCGTGGTGTTAGGGAATCTGTTTGAAATTGCACAGTGGAATACACAGTGAGGGAAAGCAAAAGGGAGTAGTTTTCTTTCAAATTGAGGCAGTGCCTTGTACATGGATGATACTCTTTTTTGATATGTATCGTTTAAATTGTTGTTAAAATTGAATGACAATGTGTAGTAGTTGCAGTAATGTAAATTTCTTTGGTAATTAAGTGATTCATCTGACTACACCCACTGACTTCAATGGAGATGCAAGAAACATTCTTTTTTGGCGACAATAAAAATTATCCAGTAGGGCCCATAATTGCTGACAGCATATTGCTGCTTAAGAAATTGTTCTGGATGGCTTTAACAAGCAATTATGAAATACATCTTTTTATGTATTGTTCTGTATTGCCCATCACTGTCTCTGTGTAGACTTCAGTCTACACATGTCTACATACAGTCTACCATGTGTCTATTTAGAAAGAGTGACAAAGAACTGTCCTTGGTGGACTGATGAAGTTCTGCATTTCTTGATAGAGCAAGACTTAATTTTTGAAGCAAAGAATGTTCTGTGATCTCAGGGAAATTTTTTAAACCTTAGCTGCCATAGTTAAGTATGGGAATTATCCTGCTAATCAAAGGACCTTCTTTGTGGACTCATATGTTAAGATTTAGATAAGAAAGAGACTTGCTGAGTGTCACCATCCTTCATGTGGCCAAATATTGAAGGGGAAAATTGTTTGAAAGTTCATGGCAGTCCAAGCAGCAGAAATGTTTAGCTTACTTTTTTTTTTTCCTAGCACAGTTGGATAGTGTTAATATGTATCACTAAGAGACTAAGATTTATAAGTACACGCTGCAGAGTAAATTGTACTGTCAAGCAGAGAAATAGGGTAGTAAAACAGACTCTCTACACTAATCTTCTGAGGATCTGTGACACTGTGTGCAGCAATCACAGAAAATCTGCTGATCCTGTTCAGACAGGAGGCTTTAGCACTCTTCTTAGCAAACCCGATGTATTTCATTTTCCTTGTCATTGGTACCATAGATACTTTGTGGGGTTTTTCCCTCTGTATTTTTGGTAGAGCTGGATATTAGTGTATATTTGTAATCTTTGTTTATGTGAAAGTCCTTGTTTATAAAGGTCTCCCAGATATTCTGGGGACTATATTTTTTCTTCTGTGGTGTGTTTCCATATGGTTCACTTTGACAGCAAAGGCACCAGTCTCTCAGAGGTCACATTGTATTGTTGTTGGCGGAACAACTTTAGTCATTTTCACAAGAGAGTAGTAAAAATTTTATAGCTTTGAAAGGAAAGTGTAAATATTTTACAGGATGGAATGCCCTTAGCATCTGTATTTTACCACTTTTTTTTTTTTTAAATTAAGTTCACACTTTATAGTGTACAAGAGCCTTTCAGGACCAGATTTATGTTTTCGTAGTGCCTATAAGCCATCCCTTATGCCAATTACTAGGATACAATATGAGGCATACATATTTCAAAGTCACAGTGGTACATTCATTATCATTCTCATTCTATAATCTTCATTAAATACTTATTTGCTATCTATCAAATGTGAACATTTAGAAGTATATCTAATTGCAATTACTAAAGTGGAGTAGTGAGAATGTTCATGGATAACAATAGCTGTATATGGCCCTGGTTTTGCAAATATTGACAGGTTCAAATTTTGGTTGTCTGGCAAGTTCCTGAGGTTTTGGGAGGAAATATAAAATGGGCGTTCAATGGGATGAATACTGATTAAATTATCGTCTTGAAAGGGTAGTTGCATATTTTATGATTGTAAATAAATCTCACACTCGGAGACAACTAGTCACACAAATAAAACAGGCTGAAATAGTACATACTACTTTGAAAACCAAATTATTGTTAACCAGTATAGTACAACGTCATCCTATTTACTTGTTTAAAGAGCTCATACTACTTTTTAGGAAGAGATGCCATAAAATAGATTCAGTATTAGGACTACTAAGTCATTTTTCACAGTCACAATTTTTAATTTCAATGAAAAAAAAAATTATATAGCTAGTTTCATGGATTGTGGTTCTTTTTCCATATATTAATAGGTAAGTCATATTGTATGGTAGTGTAGTAATAAGAAAGAGTTAAGTGTCTGAAGGTCAGCAATAAAACCTCCTTGTTTTTCTCCTCAAAAATATAACTTTTTGTATTAATCTAAATCATATTAAAATGTAAAGTTATTTATGATTAAGCTTAGATGCATTAATTGGAATTGGGACCTGTGTAGCTGATGGAGAGAACAGTGGAAATACTCAAAATAATTATGGATTTATATGTAAAAATCATGAATATGGTGTTTTCCAAGGAAGAAACTTGACTCATGTAGGGA